TTTTAAGTCTTGGGGAAGCAATGTGTTTGGAAGTGTCTAAGGAATAGCTCGGAGAGCAATGTGGCCAGAGCCAAATAAGCAAGGGTGGGAGTGAGAATTGATGAGGGCAGGGAGGTAATGAGGCTGCATGGCCATTGCAGGTCTTTTAGATCTTACTCTGAGGGAGATAAGACACCCTGGAGGGTTTGGAACCAGGAAGGAGACATTTAAGAAGCTCCATTTAAGAAGGATCACAGTGGGGCCTCCCTGGTGGTGCAGGCGGTTGAGTGCAGCGCTGTGAAGCTGTCCGCAGCCTCTGCAGCATGGGTTCGATCCGGCCGGCCAAGGAGAAATCCACATGGCGTGGCAGACCTTTCCTGCCTCACCCGCTATTCCCCTCAGCAGTGTCTTCGGTCCGTCTGCCTGTTCTGCTCCCCGCTTTGTCCCTGGTGAATCCTCTCACCCTCCCTCACCTCTGGCCTGTACCCCAGCTCTGGTATGCAAAAATAAATAAAACCTTAAAAAAATATATAGCTGGTCTCTCTGAAAAAAAAAAAAAAAAAAAAAAAGAAGGATCACAGTGGATGGCTGTTCTGTGGAAAAGAGACTATAGGAAGGAAGGAGGCAGGAGACACTTGAAATAATTCAGAATATAATGGTGGCTTGGCCCAGCATGATGGCACAGGGGATGGCAAGAAGGGGGGAGTTCTAGACATGTTTTGAAGGTATTGTAGGCAGATTTGCTGTTAAATTGAATGAGGATCTGAGAAAAAATGTTGAGCAGAATTGCATGTGCTGCAGTGGAGACTTCTCATCAAATGGATTAATGGCTTAAAAGATTTCTGCAAGGAAATTGTAAATCAAAGATAAGACTAATGCAAATATAAGCAAACAACAGGGAAAGTCAAAACCAACACCTTTCCTATTCTATAAAACAAAATTTATCAAGAAAAGCATTTAAAATATTTATACCCACTATTGTTAATCATGAGCTCCATCCTAAGTAGATATTATTCCTTGAACTGTTTAACAAATGAGAGTATGAAGCCATTATTAACAAAACATGCTATCATGATTTTAAAAGTAAACATCGGAAACTTTAGTAATATATTTAAGAGAGGCTAAAAATGTATTTAAATAAAATTAAAATATCTTAATATTCTTAGCAATTCCAGCTTTACCATATCTTTTCAATATCTAATTTTGCTGTGTACTTTGTAATGCTGGAGGTGAGGGAACAGGAGGGTGAGAAACTCAGGAACATAACTTATTAAAATAAAACACAAGCACTTTTAACTGATGTTCAGAAATCATTGTAAATATGGACAGTGTTGAACACTCTAGCAGAAACAACACATAAATAAAATTTTAAGATGTTCATCTGGGAGTTGGGGGTTAAAAGTTGAAGGTGGGCAAAGCAGCTAAGTGCTGGGATATTAATTCAAATTTGCAATTGTATGATGGTTTACATTTACCAAGAGTTCCGTGCATGGAACTGACTCCATCCTCATGTCAACCCTGTGAAGCCAAGTTAAAAAGGGTGTTATTCACCATGCACAAAAACCAACTCTAAATGGATTAAAGAACTAGACATAAGACCTGAAACCATAAAATACATTGAAGGAAATATAGGCGAAACACTACATGATATGCACATCAAAGACATCTTTACAGACACATCACCCAAAGCAGTGATAGTGAAGGCAAAGATCAACAGCTGGGACTACATCAAATTAAAGAGCTTCTGCACAGCAAGAGACAATAACCAAAACAAAGAGAAACCCCACCGACTGGGAGAACATTTTTGCACACAACACTAATGATAAAGGACTGATCCAAAAATCTGCAAAGACCTGATGAGACTCAACAAAAACAAAGAAAATAATCCAGTCAAAAAATGGGCAGAGGAGCGAAAAAGAAACTTCTCTGAAGAGGAAATGCAAATGGCCAACAGGCATATGAAAAAATGTTCAACATCACTTGTAATCAGGGAAATGCAAATCAAAACTACAATGAGATACCATCTTGCACCAGTGAGAATGGCACATATTAAAAAAACTAGCAACAACAAATGTTGGCGAGGGTGTGTAGAAAAAGGAACTCTCCTGCACTGTTGGTGGGAGTGCAAACTGGTCCAACCACCATGGAGAGCTGTGTGGAGATTTCTGGACCTACTAAACATAGAGCTTCCATATGATCCAGCAATTCCACTTCTAGGTATTTACCCAAAGGACACAGAAACATCAATCCCAAAGAGCACCTGCACCCCTATTTTTATAGCAACACTGTTTACAATAGCTAAGCTTTGGAATCAACCCAAATGCCCAAAAATAGATGACTGGATCAAGAAGATGTGGTACACATACACCATGGAATATTACTCAGCATTCAAAAAAGATAAACACATGCAATTTGCAGCAACATGGATGGAGCTGGAAGGGATCATGTTCAGCGAAATAAGCCAGAAAGAAAAAGAAAAATACCGGATGGTCTCACTCATAGCAGGAATCTAGAAAACTTAAATAAGGGACCAGGAAAAAGAATAACTATAAGAAAGAAAATATCAAAATCAACAAACAACTATGAACCAGAGACACTCTATGGGGGGGGGGGAAAGGAGAGATTGGGGTCAAAATAAGGGGATTGTAATTGTATGGGGAATATAAAAATGAAATTTAAATAAAAATAAAATAAAATAAAATAAACACTGGACACTGCTTTGGGTGAGGTAAGGGTCTTTTTTGGCCTCAGTAACTCTTTGTTTTTCCCTGGTTTGTTAAATAAACTCCATAGTTGTTGTTCCCTGAAAAAAAAAAAAAAGTAAATGTCTATTGATTAAGCTATCCTGTCTATGCCACGTAAGTTGATTACAATGTGAGTTGACTAAGACATAAGTAAACTACAGTATTTTGTGTGAAACTTTGGCCTCTAAAAAATATTTTATCATAGGGCCTCCCCTGGTGGCGCAGCGGTTGAGCACTGGGCTGAGAGGCTGCCCGCAGCCTCTGCAGCGCCGGTTAGTTCCCTGGCCACCGTAGAGGGTCCCACCAAAAAAAAAAAAAAAAAAAAAAAAAAAGGTGTTATTATCTCTTTTTCTACGGAATGATTGAAAGTTGGGTTGAGATTCTTTCATGAGTTCAATCAGCTAGAAAGTGAAAGATCTGGAACTCATTAGAGTTTCTGGCTCCATGGTCAGATGTTAAGACACTTGACAAATATATCTGATAAGTTAAGTGCTTACTCTAGGCTGAGGATTGCTCTAGATGGTGTGGTAGCCTTCGGAAAAGAGGAAAAGTCACTCCCTCTGTTCCCATGTAGCCTCAGTCCCAGACTACGGACATTAAACAGATGCCTGTGAAACTACATTTACAAAGCAATGTTCTTGTAAAAGTGGAGTGATAAATTTAGCTTATAAGGATTCAAGGGGCAAAAAGTAAGAGTTAGCATATGAGTCATTAGAGCAAAGGAGGATTTACAGGTGTAATAAGGGCTCTTTGGTGGTAAGCGTTTCCCACCTTTGAGCTGATGTACACAAAGAAAGAAATTTGCTGGCTCACAGATCAGATAACTGGGCTTACGGCCATCTCCCTGTATATGTCACCAGGAATCCATGCTTTTCCATTCTCCAACACAGGTTTTTCTGCGTTAGTTTTATTCCCCAACATGCTCTCACCAAAGTTGGTAATCTGGGCACAGCAGCTCCTAGCTAAATTCTACAAGCTCAGTTTTCACCATGGACAAGAAAACACTTCTTTCCAGATGATACCATCAAAGTAGGGTTCTCCCAGGCTTGGGTTTTGTGCCTATAAATACACCAGTCACTATGGCTAGGGGATTGCTGTGCTTTGATTGGCCAGACTTGGATCACATATCCACCCTTGGGGGGTATCAGTCCCGCCAAATAGCATGGGGCTGAGTAAGAAGATTGTTGGTTACCCAGAGGAAAATAGAAGTGTCCCCACTAAAGAGAGAATGGCTGCCATAGGGCAAAACAATAGAGGATCATTACAGCAAGGTAAGATTCCTAAAGAAAGTCACTTTGTCCCAGAATTTGAAGGAAATATTTGAGTGTGTTTTAATTTTATAGAATTCTGGGAGAGAGTTGGTATAGGAGACTCATGTTATGCAGATATACCCTGGAGAACACTGACTGAAGTTTTGAAACTTAAATTTTACTTTCCTTTAAGTCTGAAGGATGCCATTTCTTCATGGAGGAATATTATGAGCTAAGACTCACCATTTCCTTATTGTGCCTTTCTGGCCTCCACATTCCTGAAGCTAGGTGTTTTCCTATCTTTGGAACCCCTAAAGATAGCCTACTCACTGACTTTCTGAGGTAACCTCTCCCCTTTAAGGTTTCCTTTAATCACCTAATAATAACCATTATTGAAAAAGCAAGAAATAGTCCTCAGTCCTCCCTACTTTTACCCCCCTGGAGTCTCCACATTTGGCCTCTTTTCTTTTCATGTTTGGATCTTCTTCCTTCCATAGAAGTCCGTGGTTCTCCCTTTAAGATATCCTTACACTCTCTATTATATTTCAACAATTATTCATTCACTGCTCTTATCCCTGCTAACTACCAATCACATCCATGGACCCTGATGACCCACTATGGGACTTTGAATTTTAGAGAATGGTCACACTCCTGCTTTCCAATGACCTTCATATTTCCAGGCCTCCTCTCTTGTACCTCTGAAGTGGAGATGATAAAATTCCCAAAGGAAAGCATTTGCAAAGTGCTTTGAGTGCTTTGATGAAATTGATTAGGTAAATGGAAGCATGCGTTTTGCAACTAATCTAAACTGTAAGAAAAATAAATTATATAACACAATGATTCATCATTTAGCAAATAAGGAAGGTCATTTGTAATTTTAAATGTTATTTAAAAATAAGAATTTTTTTCAATCAGTAAAAAACAAGACTTTGATTTGAAATGTTTTAAAAACAAATATTGCTTAGTATCTTTAAAACAGTACTTTCATTATCGATGACTGAATTAACATTTTGTTTTATTTTTCTAGCTTCTCTCCTGAAGGGTTTGAAACATGCTAATGTTGTGCTCCTGCATGACATCATTCACACCAAAGAGACACTGACATTTGTTTTTGAATACATGGTGAGTTGCCACAGCATCTTACAAAGTAAGGAAAAAGACTAGTGCTCACATAATGAATCTGTTAATATTTTATGGCATGATAAAACTTTCAGTACAATGTGGAAAGTGTCATGGAAATTTTCGTTATTGTGATTACTAGAAACTATTGTTCTCATGCTCATTCTTTAGTTCTGCTTCTTTATGCAATATATTTGTTGTTTTTTCCCTCCCCCATCACCAGCAATAATAAATAAGCACTTTTGAGTTTGCTCCCTAAATAAAGCTTTTGCACTTATTTTAATCACTATGTGGGCATAACTCAACATTTTCCCAGACAATAAAAATGTAAATCACAAGGATTTTAAAAACTGTACAAAAGTTTACAAAAATAATAACTCATTTTATATTTTTGAAAGAAAAAGTATTCAAAAAACCAGGAATCACAAGGTATGTGTACTTATCTTGCTTCCCTGGAAAGTGAAACATGCTTGTGTCATTGTGTTCAATAGCAGTCATTTAAAATTAGCATCTCTTTGTGCTAAGAAACAGGGTTCCTTCTAAGAGCAATCAGTAAGAAAGACACATTGTGTTTGACCTTAACAGTGGGGGTCTCAAAAAATCTGGTTTTGTACTTTTTGCAACTTATTCTCCAAAATTCTAAACTTTGTAATACCTCTGACAATAAAGTCTCTGGTCTGCTTTGGGACCTTATCCAAGCATGGCTGACTCTGCTCTCCAACCATTTTGTCTAGCATACAGACTTGGCCCAGTATATGACTCAGCACCCAGGAGGGCTTCATCCTCACAATGTCAGGGTGAGTACTTTAAGGTTCAGGACTCCTCTCGCTTGCCCACAGAAGGAGAATTTTGAAGCAGACTGCTACCACAAGACAAAGTCTCATGATACTAAATCAGAAGAAAGACATCATTGATGGGCTAGAGAAATTTTTTTTTTAAAAGGAGTTGCCCCTCAAAATATGATGCAATATTTATCTGTTTTCTGGGCAGCCTAACACTGTCAGTCATTGTTATCATCAAATGTATCTTTAGAAGTGTAAGCCAATTAAAAGGAATTTCATTAAAAGGTAAGAAGTGAAGCTAGGTCATCATAAAACAAATACCTTCTTTATGGTGGTCTATAATCAAGTTGGTGTTATGGCTATAGTTTCCCAATAGAAGTAGGAAACAAACTAGTATCTTTGTTGGCTCTTAATCAGTTACCCTTTTGCCTGCTCTATAGATCCTATTATATGTGGGACCAACTTCCAGTTTTCTAGTCATTGGAATATCAATAACAACAAGCTCTTAAGTAGAGGTAATGCACATTTGTTATAAATTTTATTTTTTTATTATTTTTTAAAGATCTTTTTTTTTTTTTATTTATACAATAGCTGGTGTACAGGCCAGAGGTGCAGGAGGGTGAGAGGATTCACCAGAGACAGAGTGGGGAGCAGAACAGGCAGACGGACCGAAAGCACTGCTGAGGGGAGCAGCGGGCGCAACAGGAGAGGTCTGCCACGTCATGTAGGAATCTCCTTGGCTGGCTGGAAATTGAACTCGTGTTGCAGCAGAGGCTGTGGGACAGCTTCACAGCACTGTGCTCAACCTGCTGCGCCACCGGGGAGGCCCTGTTATAAATTTTAGAAGCCATTTGTAGTTCATACTTTCCATTTCCATTAATATAACCTTATGAAATTTATATATAAAGTATTTATTCATTTAATATTTACATATTCATTGATTATTTCATTCAAGAAATATTTAGTATTATATTAAGTTCTGAGGTTTCAATAATAAATAAGTTGTATTTCTTGTTTTCAATGACCTTAAATAGGGCATAACAAGCAAAATGATAACTATGGTCGTTAGCTAAGAATATTATGAAGACTGCATAGTAAGGGAATCTCCATTCTTAGAGACAAGAAGACAAAAAAGCTTGAAGTCACAAGGTTGAAGAGAGTTGAAAACCAATGTTATAGCTATTGAAAGTGGGATAGAGTACTAAGTAGGGAAGCCAAAAAGGAATGTCTAGTGATGAGTTAAGGGCCCTGGTGAAGATGGAAACCATTAAATTATCCGTATGATCATGGAATTCCTTTTAATGACAATATTTAGAAATTTGAATAGAGGTGCAGAGAAAGCAGTTGGACTGATTGAAAAGTGGGTTTTTGCCAGATATGTGAAAGGAAAAGACAGTTGGGCAAATTGAAAAGATGGAACTGAGCATAGTCTAAGGAAGGAAGTGAAGACATGTAGGTTACTGACAGGTATGGATAGAGCAAGGGATGAAAGGCATAGAGAGGAAAAACTGAAAAAAGTTTTCAGGCTTGAGTGCCCACACATAACAGATGCTGTGCTAAATGCTGTGAAGGATAAGAAGACATAGAAGTCATGATTATTTGTCCTCAAGGCACTTACAACCAAACACAAAGAAAGGGAAAAAAGAAAGGAAAAAGAAAAGAGCAATATACGCCAATAGTATTACAAAATATTTATGAATAATGCGAAGGAGGAAGTAAGACCTAGCATTGTAGACATGCAAGGAGTAACAGGTATCTTCTCATTTAAGAGGCTTCATTAAGTCAAGACATAAAACAAAGCATTGTATTTGAAGAGGCTGGAATAGGAGAAGGTTTTACAGGAAGAATCTTCTCACCAAAGGTATGGAACTGGGAAGTGCGAATGTGTTCAAGGATTCAAAAGTCATGGACCGTTAGGGGTAGCGAGACCGCAGTGTCTTTCAAATCTTTGGGTTCTGAGCTATTAGTAGGTTATGAAATCAATTTGATGATTATAACCAGCACTTTTAGGGTTTTTTTTTTTTTTTAGTAGAGGCATGTTATTTATTTATTTATTTTGTTTGTTTGTTTGTTTTGTTTATACATGCACTGGGTACAGTCAGAAGCACGGGAGGGTGAGAGAATTCACCAGAGCCAGGGCGGGGAGCAGAGCAGGCAGAAGGACCGAAGTACACTGCTGAGGGGAGCAGCGGGCGGCAGGAGAGGTCTGCGCGCCATGTGGGACCCTCCTCTGGTGGCCGGGGAGCAGCCAGGGATCGAACCGGCGTCGCAGCCGCGGGCAGCTTCGCAACCCAGCGCTCAACCGCTGCGCCACCTGGGAGGCCCATAACCAGCACTTTTAAAAATGAAGTGGAATGGATGAGAGAGAATAGAAAATGATAGTATGTTACACTTAGTACTTAGTGTCGCTTATTTTGTGCAATGTGTGTTCTAGTTGAAACTGTATATCTATGTATGGATGTGAATATTGGGTATGTATGTGTGTGTATATATGTGCATGTGTGTATATACATACAATAGATATTATATATCTATTTCTTACTGTGGATTGCAGTCAAAAAAGCTTTAAAAAACACTGGGCTGATCTAACTAACGTCCTCATTTTGCAGAATTGGAATCCAAAGCTTGAGAGGACAAATATTTTGCTAGAGGTTATAGAATTAGGGTTTGGCTTGGCTAAAAGTGATTCTTTGTTAAAATTTCTTTCTACTAGTGCCATACTCTGTTCCTGTTTGGCCTGAAATGTAGAATATATTCGTGAAATAGGATACGTAAGTCTGGGGAAATAGATTGGGGAGATGGCTGAGAGCCTCACTTTCTAAGATGTGGACTTTATTCCTTAGACAGTTGAGTCATTAAAAAGGTTTGAGTTGAGAGAGAATGACATGATCAGAAGGAAATTTATGTAACTGTGGTCTGTGGGATAGATTAAAGAGAGGAGACTGGAGTCAGGGATTCCAGTTAGGAGTTTATTGATGTGGTCTAGCCCAGTGCTTCTCAAACTTCAATGAACAGACGAATGACCTGAGGATCTGATGCAGTTAGTCTAGGGTGAGATCTGAGCTTGTGAATTTCCAACATACTCCTAGGTGATCACTATAGATGCTGCTGGTTGAGGACTATACTTTAGTTACAAGGGTCTAGATAAAGTCATAAAGCCCTAAATTATGGTAGTGAAGGTATGAATGGAAAGGAATGAAAAATGGAAACAAGAGGCAGGACATGGTGATTAACTGTGCGTAAAGAGGGAAAGGGTGGTGCCAAATCTGACCAGTTTTGAGTGTGGTTCACCAGGAGAATTGTAGCTTTGTTAACAGAAATAATTGGCTGGGAGAGGAAGAGGAGTGTCTTGTTTTAGACATGGCGAGTTCCTAGTTGAAATGGAATATCCACAGGTAGATGAGCAGCAGGTAATGGAAAAGGAGATTCTACTCAGAAGGGAGATATCAGCTGGAGACACAGATTTGAAAATAACTGACTCATGAAGTTTGCAATTAAAGACTGCTCCCCGCTCTGTCTCTGGTGAATCCTTTTACCCTCCTGCACATCTGGCTTGTTCCCCGGTTCTTGGATGCATGAATAAATAAATCTTTAAAAAAAAAAAGAAATAACACTGAGAATCATATTTGACAGCAAGGACTTTGTAGGCTTTTGAGGGATGTACTAATAAACAGAGGGTTATGTTGGAGGTAGATGGAGGCACAAATGAAGAAGTTATCCAATCAAAATCAGTGGGGGTAAGGATGAGTTTCCCAGAGTAGAGGCAGCTGTGACGATGCAGAATGCCAGAGGGGACATGGTGCATTCCAAGAGCTAAAGATAATTCAGGAAGGCTGGAGTTTAAAATTAGCCATCAGGGGTAGTTAGAGATGAGATTTGAAAGGTAGTGAGGAGCCATAACATGAAGGGTCATGCTATGTCAGGCTATTCTGTATAAAGAGTCATTAAATGATTTTAAACAAGGAGTTGATAAATTCTGAGTTTTATTTTAGAAAGATCACTCAGATCACATCACACTACATAGATTAAAGGGAGGATAGCACTTTTTTTTTTTACTATTATGGTTCCCTGACCATATTCTCTAGTTTTTCCTTCTGTTCCCACCCTTGTACCCATTTCCTCATCTCATTCTGTAAATGCTGGTGTCTCTTAGGTTTCCAGCCTTGACTAAGGCTCATCAGGGCAATAGTGACACAGATGAAAGATGATGGTGAAGGAATGTAGACATTCATGAAATCAGTTTCTTAGAATTGATTGGAAATGGAAGAATCAGCAGTTATTTTTCTAGCCTTCTAGAAGGCCAAGTATGGAGCCCTAAAGAATATCAATATATTAGAGATCAGCAGAGAAGGTGGAACCTATGAAAAAGCAGCTAGAGCAGTAAGAGGACAATTAAGAAATGGTGGTAGACCAATGAGAGAAAGAGCTCCAGAAGGGGGGACATGGGCAACACTACCAAAAGCTGCAGAGAGAAAGAGTGAGAGGTATACATTGGATTTCCAGCACAAAAGACATTGGTGACCAAAGTAAAAACATTCTGAATGAAGATCATGGCAGAAGTCATTTTTATAGGAGTGTGAATTTGTTGTTCAGAGGACAAAAGTTTGCATTTGATGGCAAGATCCAGTGTATGACCTTGGGAGTGAGGGGCTGAAATGGAATGGAGAAGCAGATCTTATTGCTGAGGAGGTTGATTGAGCTTGTTCACATGGGAATTGATGTTAAGGAGACAACTGTCTCCCAGGTCCCCAAGTTTTTAGGAAATGATGGAGATTAGTGGGGAATAGCATGAATGTAGTGGGAAGATGTAGTCAAATGGCATAAAAATTCAGGAACAGGGGTTTTTACTTAAGGATGGATGAAGTAATGGTTTTGAAGTAGTATTGGGGAGATGGGAGTTTAATAGTCATGGGCCTCCCTGGTGGCGCAAGGGTTAAGACACAACCTATGAAGCAATCTGCAGCCTCTGCAGCATGAGTTCGATCCCCAGGCAGGGAGCTATCCACATGGCGCAGTAGACCTCTCCTGCCTTGCCCACTGCTCCCCTTAGCAGTATACTTTGGTCAATCTGCCTGTTCTGTTCCCCACTCTGTCTCTGATGATTCCTCTCACCCCCCCCACACATACCTCTGGCCTGTACCCCAACTCTTGTATGCATAAATAAATAAATCTTTTAAAAAAATAGTCATGGAGGCTTATATTTTGAGTAGTGACCATAGAAGACAAGAAGGTAATCATAGACTGGCCTGTGTTGAATTTCCAATAGAACAAGTTCCAGGAATCCCTGCTGAGTGGGAAGGCCTAGCCTTCCCTGCTGGAGTTGGCTGACAGATCCGATTGTGTTTTTGAGGGATTCCCAGCCCAGGTGGCACTAGTCCACCAAAATTCTTTTGTTCCCAAGATCCTCATTGTGTTGGAAACATAACAAACCCCTGGGGAATGGGAAACCTCTGTGGAAAGAGTCACCCACGGTCTAGCTCAATGTTGACTGAGAAAACACCATCAATTTTGGTCATATTATTGGTAAAGCTTTGGTGGTGTTGAAGCAAGAATTCAGGTTGCAAGGGATTAAAGAGTGAGTGGGTGGTGAGGTGAGTTAGCAGAAACTGCAGTTTTGAGAATTGTGGCTATGGAATATCATACCTTAATACGACAGTGCTTTACCATTTACAAATGCCTGTAGACATCGGTGGAGCCAGGGAGGAAAGGTACTGAAGAACAAGGAGGCTGGTGGGTGTGACTAACTAATTAGTGAGAACAGTTTATACTTGGGACATAAAAAGCATCTCAGACTAGCCAGTAGAGGCTGTCTCCCACTCAGCCAGCCAACTGTTTCCTTCCCTGTCATATTATAATTTTCTGACTTTTCTCAGGATAGTGTAGTGGAGTTAAGTAAGTCTGAATTTGAGTGCTGGCTCTCACTCTTTAGACATTTTAAAGTTTGCTTGAGCCCTAGTGTTCTTATCTGTAAATCACAAACAAGCATATTTGCCCCACAGGCTTGTTTTAAGGATGGCAAAAGGTGCTATGCATTTCCTCAATGTTATTTTTCCTTTCTTCCTTCTGTCTCTAGCCCTCACTGTTCACTGTCTTTCTATCTTACCTGTTTCCATTTCCCTCTTTCCTTAGCACTAGCAGATTGAATAACATTTTTAAGCACAGACTATGGCATCTTATCTGGAATTGAATTTATATTATCTTTTTATATTATATTATCTTTATATTATCTTTTCCATGGGTATTTAGATTTATAACTGATTGGACTATCAACATTAAATATCAGCATAGGAATTTTGTGGTTTGTTAGTTAATAGGATGATGAGTGGTAAAATCAGAAGTGTGTGTGTGTTTGAAGCACCGAGAAGAAAAAGCATTGGGAAGTCGGAGCCAGTGAATACTTGAAATAGGAAGTCTCAGGAAACGTTTGACATTCCTGGATGTCTTGTGAACCTGGTTGGGACCTGCATGGAGCCTACATAGCCACAGCTGTGCTGTGCTACGTAAACTCGCAGGCTCCTGCTTTGCTCATGCCATGTTGCTCATCAATTTACTCAGTGTCTCCAATTCACTGTTAGGTCTGTACAGGTCCCAGCTTCTCTGAAGCTCCTACTTACCAAGATGTGATGGGAATGGAGGATGTATCCGCACAGGTCTGCATCTGCTATTTTGCCAGTATCCCCAGGAATGCCAAAAGTGACCCTTTCTTTTCTGAACTGCCAGAACATGTTCTCAGATGGCGTAGGTCTTTGTAAACATTAGTTGGTGATTGAATTCTCAAATGCCATTGGCAATGGAAAAGAGCAAAAAACACAGAATAGTAAGCATTCTTTTCTTCTCCTTAAGCTTTTCTATTGGCTGGACCATAATAATGTTTAGTTTCTGTACCTTATAGCCACAAATTGCATCTTCAAATTTGGTCCCAGAATATGCTTTTCTTGTTGTACCTGTCCCCCCACACCACCCTCCATCTTTCTTCTGTCTACTATTTATTCCTTGTTATCTTTTTGAGGGATAATTTCTTTTGGTTTCTCTTTCCTCTTTATATTATAAATTTCCCTTGTTTTCAACTTTGAACTTAAGACTTTAAAAATAGGTTTAAAAAGATAATGGTTCCTTTATTTCCTAATACCATCCAAGGATATATTTCCTGGTCTGTCTCCTTGTGTTATGTTTTAAAAAGGATTCATATCAGAGTGCATGGGAAACTTAAACAGTTGTAAACCTTAGAATATCATTTCCGGGTCAACTTTGATCTTACATGCCAAGTTCATTGGTGGGGAAGAAAAATTAAATATCTCACATCTAAATCAATAACTAGTGTTCCAAAGGAAACTTTAAAGTTTCACTTTAGATTTTTAAGGAAGTATTATGCTTTCTGTATCAAAGACATGCGATGTCAGGAAAAGCCAGAATTCCTTTGTTTAGGACCTGGTCTACTTACTACCTTTCCTAGTCAGTCTTTTCTCCTCTGAATATAAAATTGCTTCTTCTTTTTCTTCTTCTCCGTTTTTGTTTTTTTTTTTTTTTTTTTGGTCTCTCAAGAGACACTTTTACTATATTCTTTCAGATGACTGTTTTTGATTTAGAGGAGAAATCAACACATAGTAGCTCAAATCTGCTTAGATAAGGTGTTCATTCCTTCCAGCTTTTCATGTTTCAACTTTTGCGAGGCCTGGCATACATCCACCACCAACACGTTCTTCACAGGGACCTGAAACCTCAGAACTTACTTCTCAGTCACTTGGGAGAGCTCAAACTGGCTGATTTTGGTAAGTCACCCCTCGAGTCTCTTTCTGGGATGTGAACAATGATGCTTTTGTGTGCACATGTTTAAAGCATTGACTAGGGCTGGCCTTTGAAAAGTAGAGGCCCAGGGAATATGAAGCTTTGTGAGGATATCAAAGCACCATATAGGAAATGTGAGGCAAGAAACAGGGAATCGGTAGCTTCTTAGGATTCCATTACGCCCCAGTCTAATTGGATCCTAAACGTGGGCACCTCTACTACCTCACATCATTCTGGATATAGAGAGATTTGAAGAATGAAGTATACTTAGTCTGTTACCCTAAATCGGCTTTGCATACACAAGTTCTATCAGAGTAGATCAAGGTTATCCCAGTAGGGCAGGATAAAGAGAGGTAAACCCCAAGATGTAAGGTAGATTTCTGCTGGGGTGGTGGCTTCAGGACACTTGTCCCTGTTTACATGTATATTGATACAGGTGTCATGCTAAAGATATCTGAGATTTTTATTCTCATCAAAGTGATGCAGATTTCTCCAGGTGTCACTATATCTTTCCATGTTAGCACTTGCAGTTTTATAATTACACACATATATGTGTGTGATGATTCTGTTTCCTCCACTACACTGTACACATTATGAGGGCAGCCTGAGTCCATTTTTGCTTATTTTTATATCCCTAGTGACTGGCTCCATAGTAGTTGTTTGATAAATATTTGTTGAAAAACTGCTTTGCATTAAACATGGATTTGCTATTTGCCGTAGTAATTTCACTTCTAGGCATCTACCCCACAAATTAAAAAAACACTAATTCTAAAGGAAACCTGCACTCCCATGTTGATTGCAGAACTATTTACTAAATTACAGCAATAACCTAAGTGTCCCAGAACAGATGAGTGGCTCAAGAAGATGTGGTATATGTACACAGTGGAATACCACTGAGCTATCCAAAAAAAAACCCTGCCATTTGCAGCAACATAGATGGGGCTTAAAGGGATAATGCTAAGTGAAATAAGTCAGACAGAGAAAGATAAATGCTGAATGATGTCACTAATACTGGTTTGCATGAGCTGAGGACTCACTCTTCTGTTTGGTAGATGTCAAATGGTGGTAAAATAGCTGTAATACTTTATTCTGAAACAAGGGTTATACTTTATGCAGGTCCAGCTTTCATCTGGACATGTTAACATTTAACTGATATTTGCTTATCAATTTCCCACAAAAGCAAACCTATTTATTGAGGTTTCTTTCCCAGCTATATATCATGTCATTCTGTGAGATAAGGAACTGACAAAAAATATTCTCATTTGCAGAGGAACTTGAGAATGACTCCTCAGAGATCCTACCAAACTAATTTGGATTAGCAGTTGCCATCCTATAGCCACTAACCTAGGAGTTTCTGGACTGCAAAAATGGAGGGTGGTCATATTAACTTGGACTGAGTTCCATTGTTATTACAGAGACCCCAAACTATAAAAAGTAGAAACTTAACTTTCTCACATACCTAAGCAGAGATTGTATGGTGACTCCAGGGTATGTTGGCCCACACTCAGCTGTTGTGAGGCCCTAGCATGCCTCGGATATTGCCCCAACTGCATACTTCTAGATAGCTGCCACCTCCTTCTTCTAACAGTCTGAAGGAAGGAGAAAAGGGAAGAATGCTTAACCCCACCATTAAGGGTGTGATCTACAAGTTCACATGTCACTTCTGTTCATATCAAATAGGCAAGAATCTGGTCACCTTACTATACTTAGTTGTGAGGGGGGCCACTTCTAGCTGTAAAATAGGCCAAAAATTAAGAAATTCACTTGATTTCACATGAGAAATTCACAAGGATCAAATAGTTGAGCAGTTGTACTAAAAGCACACAAAGTTTGTACATTATTTTTAAAGTGTTTATGTTGCCAGTTAACTGTTGTTGGCAGAATGCATCTCTGTGGATTTCCAGGAAAAAACAGGACAATGATTTATGTTTTTTCCCTTCGGTCAGGTCTTGCTCGGGCCAAGTCCATTCCTAGCCAGACATACTCTTCAGAAGTTGTGACCCTCTGGTATCGCCCTCCTGATGCTTTGCTGGGAGCCACTGATTATTCCTCTGAGCTGGATATGTGGTAAGGGTAGTACCAAAAATGAAGAAAATATGAATTATCCTACCTGTGAGGGTGGTATTATCATCTTCACTATATTTTAAATAACAGTAACATTTATATACAGAAACATAAAGTATTATCAAATACACATTGCACTTTACTTTTCCAATCATTCTGTGAATTTTTAGCAATTAAAGAAAGATTCTTCTGAATCTGATACTCTTTCTACCACACCCCCTCTCCTAGCTCTCTCTGTCTCTCTCTCTGCCTTCAGAGAAACAGACTATACTCCCAAACCACAGATACACACACTCACACACGTGTATACTCACACACATGCACACATATGTCTGCACATGTGTGCCCACACACCCCTATAGTTCAATGACAGATTTAGAAAAAACAGACCAAGAGTCAAAGGACCCAATTTCCATGTCAATTCTATTTCTAATCAATTACTCTGAATAAATTGTTACCTTTTTAAAAAGTCATGTATCCTCTTTGTGTCTAGTTTCTCCATTTTCAAAATGAGAGTGAGTAACTCTCCTCATGAAGGTTTCAATGGAATAATAGTACAAGAACCATATAGATGCCATCAAGTAAAAATCACATCTTTGCGGGGGCTTTTGAATTAAGGGAGTGCAGTAGTGAATGTGGGATCTCAGCAATCATCATCTTAGAGGAGTGGTGTGATGTGATCTGGATCTTATTTCTGAAACCAACAGTCATTCAGAGACCACAGGAGAAGGTAGTAACTTTGCAGTCATAGTCACCTCCTCAAAGGTACTAAATATATTATTTATTTCAATTCCTTAGAAGGCTTTATATAAACAAAAACCCTGTTGCTTTTCTTTAGTTTATCATAGATTATAAAAACGTAACAGTATCCTAAAAGGTTAACTTAAGCTTTAGGATTTCCAAAGTATCGAGAAAGATTGTAGAAATTTTCTTCCAGTGTACCTGAAGTCACAGATTTCCCAATACCTCGTATCGTTTCTAGAAATATCTGTGGTAGTCAAAACCCTCCTGAAACCATCAGCTCCTACTGCTTTGCACTTTCTCATCAAAGGCCATTGGTGGACTCTAACTTTCTCAGCTCTTAATGATCTCTCCCTAGTTGTGATTCACAAGCAGAGTTTTACTTCTACTCATCACTTTCAAGCTGTCTTATTATGGAACATTTAAAATAGTCAAAAAATATACTTTAAGTATATTACATATATATTATATATTTCAATGTTTCTCAGCCAGGGTCAATTTTGCTCCCCAAGTGCATTTGACAATATCCAGAGCCATTTTTATGCCATTGCTATGTGGGGATGCTATTGTCATTTTGTGGGTAGAATGGCCAAGACAGCCCCCCACAACAAAGCTCTCTGCTGTCCAAAATGTCCATAGTGTCAAGATTGAGAAACCCAGTATCAATGAAGAGACACAATCAAGTGACTTCCATGAGTCTCACTAGTATACAGCTAGAACATAATCCACCAACAGCCACATTTTCTTGTGTTTTTTTCCCCATCCATCTGCCTCTTCCTCAGAGGGGCTTCTAGCTTGAATTTTTTTTTTTAATCTTTATACAAGAACTGGGGTATAGGCCAGATGCATGGGAGGGTGAGAGGATTCACCAGAGACAGAGCGGGGAACAGACTAGGCAGACTGACTGAAATACACTGCTGAGGGGAGCAGCTGGCAAGACAAGAGAGGTCTGCTACACCATGTGGGATTCTCTCTGGCTAGCTGGGATCGAACACGTGCTGCAGAGGCTGCAGACAGCTTCACAGTGCTGTGCTGAAACGCCTGTGCCACCAGGGAGGCCCTTGAATATTTTTTTATCATCATTCCCTTACCTCTTTTAAAAATAATATTTTTTATTTTTAATTTTACATTGATTCTAAAAGGTATTGTTTTGTTTTACCTGCCTTAGAGTTATTATTTTAAAACAGTGTTGTTTTTTTTAGTCTTCTGTGACTTGCTTTTTTCACTCAATATGTTTCTACACAGCTAGACTTTATGTTGATGAACATCTTAATTGTTTAGTTTGTGTTGTATTTTGTTTTGTTTTCCTATCATGCTTATACTTGGATTCAAGATTTCTCTAGAGTACTTAGGAATAGATTTGCATGTCCTAAGGTATGTGAATGTTCAACTTCGTGAAATAGTGCCAGATTATTTTCCAAAGTGGTTGTGATAATTTATATACCAGCAATGTGTGATAGGCCTTTATCCATATCTGCACCAACTTTGTAATAACAGATTTCTTAAAATTTGCTAATCAAGCCTGTACAGTGCTTTCACATTGTGATCTAATTTTGCATTTCCCTAATTACTAATGAGGTTGGATTTTTTTTCATGGATTTTTTTGCCACTTGTATTTTCTCCTTTATGTGTCTTTATTTTATTTTCCTTTGGTTTCTCTAAGTTTCTTTCTCCCTCTCAGTCGCTCTCTTCCTTTATAACTTCATTAATTCACAGGAGTTCTAATATTCTGGATAGTAATCTATCATTTAATTTGGTTACTCTCTTTAACTTGGTTACTCTCTTTCATATTTTAATACATTGGGAATTGATTTCTGTATATGCTAACCGATTGTCTCACTCCAATTTCTTCCTTGAACTGTCACACCAAATCTCTCATATACCAAGTTTCCATAAACACACAGGTCTGTTTCTGGGCTCTGTAATTCTGTTCCACTGGGGTCAATGTAACTGTCTCTGCCCCATATCCTAATGTATTCATTTCTATAGCTTTCTAATAATGCTTGACATTTGGTAGTATAAATCTCCCCTCTTATTTCACCTTCTTCCTCAGAAGAGCCTTGGTTACTTTTCCCCTTTGAGTTTTCATAATTTTAGATTCAGTGTTTCAAGTTACATGAAAAATTCTATGGGATTTTAATTGGAATTACATTGAAAATATAGAACACTTTGAGAATAACACTTTTATAATATTGTTTCCAATTTTGAAACATGGTCTATCTCTCCACATGTTTAGTTCTACTTTAATGCCTTATAGTAAGTTTTATGATTTTCTCTCTAAGGTCTTGCATATCTAGAGCAAAGGTCCTTGTAAGCCTATTTCTACTGTTTATTGTTTCTTTTGGTTCTTGCATACAGTATCTTTTTTCCATGTATATTTAGTTGTATTTGACAGTGATATGCTAATCTTCCTTAAAATTTAATCGTGAATTTTTTGGGGGAGTTTCAAGGGGAATTAATGCCCTGCTTTCAGGCAGATAGGGGAGGCCACAGCTTGTCCTCTGCTTTTTCTCGATTGTCTTCAGCTTAAAACAATCCTTATACTAGAGTGGCATATTTTGGGGTGGCATATTCTGCTCCCCTATAGTTCTTCTCCCCTCTTTCATATTTTCCATCTCCTTAACTTTCTGTGCTGCATTCTAGGTAATTTCTGCAGCTCATCAAGCCAGTTCTGTAAGTCACTCTTAAACAATGTATCCCTAATCTTTTTACTCTATATACAAAAATGTATGATATCCCATTTGTAAATGGCTCATGAATTTAACCATAAATATTGATAAGACTTGAAAAATAAAATTTAATTATAAGTTAAAATTACTATCACTACTCTTATCCATTCCACTATTATTATTGGTTGCCCAGTACAACTTAAAAAGAAAAGTAATGTAGAACTAGAACAATAAGCATCTTTCATTGAGTTTACTGCATTTATTCACTCCCTAAATAATTGCTAGATATTGGGTGTTTACATTGAGAGTTTTCTTCCTCCTTTTTTTTAAAAAAAATTAAAGTAATGAGAGAGGAAATGAGTAGGGAGAAGATTTCTAATTGACAAACGAAGAAAAGCGGAGGAGAATCCTGTTAGGTCATGCTGTAACACAGGGTACAAACAGAATGCCTTTGTGGAGGCAGGTGACGCTGGGTGTGAATTACAGCTTTTGTGTTAAGGAAACTAATTACGACACATAGTTCAAGAATGTTTCCTTCACTATAAGCCTAGTGTCAGTGAGAGTACAAGAGCAAATTATTGAACTATGGAAAATGTGAGGTAGGACATATTGGTAATACCTAACAGTTAGAACCAACATCAGTGAGTCTGTAAACATCTTTTCTCGCTGCTACTTTTTCAGAACTTAAAGGATTCCACTAGTAGTTTCAGTGAGAAAAATCAAATGTTTTATGATGAGTAACCTTTTGTTTTTACTTTTTTTGCATTGTGTTAAAATGTCATAACAGAAAGTTTACTATTTTACCATTTTTGAATTGCTGTGCAAGTCATCACTACTGCCCATGCCCGAAACTTTTCATCATCCCAAATGGAAACTCTGTACCCATAACTGAGTATTACTCTTTCCCTGTAGCCCCTGGTAACCTGGTTCTTTCTGTCCCTAAGAATTTGACTACTCAAAGTACTTTAATTAAATGGAATCATGTAATATTTGACCTTCCATGTCTGACTTACTTCATTTAACATAATGTTTTCAAAAGTCATCCATTTTGTGGTAAACTGGGTTTAAAAGAAGGATTTACTTTTGGTACATAAAGTCCCCTATTCAAAACTGACTTTACGCAGTTTCTGGTAGTAAGACTACAAAAAGTTGTCCCAATCTGTGAGATTCTTTACAGTTAGATATCATACTGCAAACTTCCAAATGTAAAGTGTAGCCCAGGGTAAAGCAAATGGAAATGTCATGTGACTGCCATATATTGTGTTATTCTGAATTAATTTCAAAAAATTTTCATATGGGAAAATTTCATATTTCATAATTTCATTTTTCAAAATATCATATGGCTCCTTGCACCTCCAAAAAAATCTAAAACTCCTGAGATGGTTTATTTGCCCAGAGATTGCCTAAGGAATTTGAGGAAATTTTTCTCTCTTGTGGAAGAATTTGTTCGTGCTCAGAATAGAGAAAAGGTTAGAAAGAGAGCTAGTAAAAGCAGAAAACATAAAATATTTCCTCTAACTTAACTGAAGAGATCACAGTGCATCTCTCCTTTCTGGAAGGATTCATTGTTTGATCCCATCAGGTAATAGTCCCCTCAACCTCTGCTGTCTGTGAAGTTCCCCTTCATGTACATGGATTGCCCCAAAGGTATCTCCATAGAACATAAATCCTCTGAGAAGCCTAAAAAATATGTGGGGTATAAAGAGCCACAAGAATGAAGATTTAAGGCAAGAAAGGGAAATAAAAATAAATAGGAACTGGTTCCCTTTCTGGACCTGAACATTCAGAATATTTAAAATGTTTGCTTAAGATTAGTCTAGAGTGGGCAAAAGCAATGATAGCCATACAACTTGTATTCTTAATTTTAGGGAGCAAACAAAAATAAAAAATGTTTCTGAAGAACAAATGAAAAAAATAGGAAGAGGGATTTTATGATTTTTTAAAAAAAATTTTCCATTTACTTATGCATAAAAAAGCTGAGGTGTTGGGGGGAGGGGTTGAGAGGATTCACACAGACAGAGTGGCGAGCAGAACAGGCAGATCTACTGAAATACACTGCTGAGGGGAGCAGTGGGTGAGTCAGGAGAGGTCTGCTGCACCATGTGGATCAGCTCCCTGGCCAGGGATCGAACTCATGCTACAGTGGATAACCTCAAGGTGCTGAGACTTTAACCCCTTGCACCATCAGGGAGGCCCAGAACTGTACGATTTTTAAAGAATAATGCCTAAACTAGAAAATGCCTTCCATCTTTCCAACTTAAGGAACACAGATGTATTTCTATATCATTCCATTGATTGGTATGTATGTTCCAGGTACCAAAGTAAAATTAATTTAGGAATGTTGTTTGTCTTAGAAGTATTCTAAGTGCATGTATATATGCACACATGCATTCACACACAGCATATGTAGACATAGATATAGATATGTCCTTTGATTCTTGATTTGTTAGGTGAGTGAAGATTAATAAAGATGCAAAAGAATACCTATATGGCACTAACCATAAAAATGCAAATGGCAGATTTCAACCAAACATCAGTATTTTATTGAATAATACAAACATCTACTGTTGCTAACTTACATAATGGCCTTAATATCTAACTTTCTTCAGTTAATTTTGTATAATTTTGTACACTGTCCTTATGATGTGGAAAAAATACCAGGAAATTGTATAACAAAGTGAATTCTTTCTGGCTCCCCCCAGCCACCAGTGTGAAAAGAAATTATCTTCCCGTTTGATGATATAGGAAAGAAAATTAATAGTTCACCCACTTAATCTATTTTCAAATGCACATCTCTGATCAGAATGCATCTTACAATAGCAGCCAGCCAGCCAGGCTACAGTTGTGACTGTAGTTACCATTGCATATGTGTGAACATCAAAAGTGCCAGCATCAAAATTTGTAGAATGGGTGTCAATGACTTGGAAGAAGGTCTTGCAGACAGAAGAGGTTTTTTCTTCTTCTTTTTTTTTAATCCTTAGCAACCAAATGGTTGTGGGGAGAGAGTGAATCAGACACGTTTAGCAACATTCTTTAAGCAGGAGTCAAAAGTAGGCTAACCCCACATAATTGCAAGGTCAATTTAGGAGCCAGCATCAATGACTCTTAGTTTTTTTATGGATTATTTTAAGAGATGCTGCATCATCAAACTCCTGAAAGAGGACGATATCATGGATAAACATAGACATCAAAGAGTCTGAGTCAAATGCTGAACTTATTTCACTTAAGGTTCTACTTTTTTGCATGCACAAGTATGATATATGATAAAATAATTTGTCTAATTAAAAATAAAATTATAAAAAATTGCATTAGAGTAGAGTAAAATAAAAATAAATATTATGTGAAAAAAATTTTAAAATTTTGTAACAGCCCTTTCAATAAGTAGAAAAGAGCCATTTTGAACATGTATGTCGTAGTTTAACTGGAAGGGGGTTTTTCTTGTTTGTTTTCTTAATGGTATATAAAATAATGGTTCCTCTTACCAGGACAGTATCTTATATTCAGTGAAACAGAGTCTTCAGTCTGGAAGTTGAGTACTTTCCCCTCTTCTCATTAAGTGGATAGTGGATGTTCTTGAATGAGCTAAAATGCTTGCTATATATAACATATTCCTAAATGCTAGATGCATTCCATTTGAATAAAAGATAGCATTCTTATTTTGGTGTGGCATAGTCTCTTTGCCCGAGACTTTTACTAGCATGTGGCCCCTACTTAACTATCCCCAAAATACTTCTTGAGAGGAGAAATGTTACTTCAGTTTCTCACATGTGGTTTCCTTGTAAGTGTCGGCTGACTCCTGTTTCCTTTGCTAGGGGTGCAGGCTGCATCTTTATTGAAATGTTCCAGGGTCAACCTTTGTTTCCTGGAGTTTCCAACATCCTTGAACAGCTGGAGAAGATCTGGGAGGTAAGAAAATTCTTCACAGGAAGATCTATATGCATTTCAAACTTTGAACCAAATTTGCCCGAGAGACAAATGAAGCAGTCCGTCTACTTTGAGATATTAAGCTATATATTCAGGTTGTGGAAACTGTGGTATTTGCTTTAGTAAAAGCACCTTGGAAATGAGTGGTCCAAAAAATATCTATTGTCTCATAGCACTCCATGAATCTACCTGCTCCCTATTACAATTGTCTCAATCTCACAGGACCACTCTGATACTCCTACTTAAGTATAGCCCTGATTTGCCAATCCCAGTTCTAATTCTATCATGTATTTGGCCGTGGATATTTTTCAGCTGAAAACAAGAACAAATTTTCATAGAACTTTGATAAAACAAAGACTTCCTATGTAAGCATGAGAGAAGTATACTATTTATCATGCTCCTTCCAAGCCAGATTCTTAAGATATCAAGCTGTTCTTAGTTATGGGGTTCCATTTCTTTATTCATTAGTTATTCCTACTTCATTCGCATTTAATGTCCTTTGTTTCTATCTCCCTTTTAGATTATCAGCCATGTACTATAGTCATATTTCTGGTTTAGGGGTGATTGTTTTTAATTGTGGTAAAACATACATAACATACAATTGATCTTTGTATAAAGATCACTGGCATTAATACATTCACATCATTGTGCAGCCATCACTGTCACCCATTTCCAAAACATTTTCATCATCCCAATCTGAAGCTCTGTACTCATTAAACATTAACTCCCCACCTTTCCTCACCTAGCCCCTGTCACTACTCCACTACCTTCTGTCTCTCTGAGTTTGCCTATTCTAGGTAGCATGTGTAATAGGAATCATACAGTATTTCTCTTCTGTGTCTGGCTCATTTCATTTAACATATTATGTTCAAGCTCATCCACACTGTAGCATGTACTTTAAATTGGGGGGAAGGGCATCATTTGTTATCCTGGATTCTGTTTCCTTTTAAGTTTGCTTGCTTCAAGCGGGTATCTGGAGAATTCTTGGTAACAGTCTCCCATACAGAAAGAAGTCTTGGGAAATATTGCCCTAATAGGTTTTTTGTGTGCAGGTGAGAGAACGTTTCTCAAACTCTTTTACATTTTTAATTTCGTTGCTGCAAACTTTTTGCTGGTCTAGGAATGTTGTAAATTTTTTATTTTTAAATTGTGTTCCCAATGTGGAGTCCGAGCCCTACATTTATTGTTTTAAAAAAGGTAAAAAAAAAAAAAAAAAAAAGGTTGAGTGCATATTTAATAACACATAAAAGTAAAGAAAATCCTCAGGGAACATTTATGAAAAGAGAAATGAGTTAGGGGGTCGACAGCTCATTTCTATGAAGAAATTCTATGCAAATCAGTCTAGTGCTGCAGACTCATGACCCAGAAAACCTTGTATTCTGGATAAATGAAAATGTGCTTTGTGAATTTAATATATTTTGTAGAAATTAATCACTATAATTAAATTTTATGGGGAAACAACAGAAAAATGAAGAACTTATTTTTCAAGCCAAAAGATTCTTTCTCAAAACTCTCCTGCAAGACAGATAAATGCAACCTTCAAATAGCATTAGTAGATGCTATAACATTATCTAGGCTAGGAGTCGCCTAACGCAATGGCTGTGGAATCAGATCTGGGTTTGAATTCTAGCTATTTCCTAGCTATATGAATGTGAGTAAATTATGTAGTCCCTCTGAGCTTCAATTTCCTTCTTGTTAAATGGGGCTAGAAACATCAACTATAACTGTAGAAATGTTTCAATAACCTGACTGCTAATAAGCCTTCCCTAACATTTAACTGATTGTTCTGTTTTTCTACATAGTATTATACCTTATACACAATAGAGGAAGCACAAGTAACCTAGATCTCACCTTACAATAATCTTTAACCCATTTGAAGAGGTTTTCCTAATCACTTATTAAGGAAAAAACACTTATTGGACAGCATTCACCATATAAAATACTCTGCAAGGTTTTGTATGAAGTGACAAAGCATGAAAGAATAGGAAAATTGCATGATGTGTGGCTTCAAGTGTTGACCAGTCTAGGTGGGGCAAAAGGTGAAGTATATGTAAATATATGTAAAGCAAACACAAATTATATATATATATATATATATATATATGCAAAGGGATGTCTATATAATAGTAATCATAATACTGAAATAAGATATGCTATTGGTATATTTAAAATGTTCCATATAAACTGATTTTTTAATATTATATACTATGTTTAGTGATTGTGCTCTTGAAAGCAATAATTTACAGTTTTTTGCATGTAGCACAGCACTTGAAGATCATAGAACAGAAAGAAAAGGCTAGACATTTCTCAGAACCTGATGACCCTCTAGCTAATGATTTAAGTTTCCAGGACTGATCTTGATGACTGATACCATCTGAAGGATATTTTAGGTAATTCAGTAAGTGAAAGAATTTGGAATAGAATCTGGATATAATGTTTCAAAACATGAGTGATGCAGCAAAAACAAGTGTGTCTTAATAAATCAGTCCAACTGGTCCTTACCAGGAAACCACACTCATTTCTACCATTATTTTTATTACCCTGCAATGAATCAAAGGGACTTATTTAGAACATTATGACAACTCATTACAAATTTAAAACAAGTAAACATATTAGAAATAACACTGGCCTGGAATCAGGAGACACAACTTCCGAACCCAGCTCTAACTTTAGGTAATGAAGTAGTGCAAGTCACATAACCAACCTCGCTGAGTCTCCAGCATCTTAAATTGTATTTGATTTTCTGATTCCATAAAGTTGTGACTTCTTTGGAGAAGGCATAAAGAGAACATTGTAGCTTCCTATCATTTTTAATCATATTTGTCTCTTCATTAGATTCTCCCCTGCCCATGAGTTATCAATTTGCATAATTCAATCTAACTTTCAATATGCACTGATCAAAGAAGTAAGTTTCATATTGCTTAGCTATAGCTGATGAGTGCCAGGAGCTCATATTTATTAAACCTCATTTCCCTTGGTCCTGTCCAATCAGGTAGAGACCATAGTTTTGTTATCACATGTGCAGTTCCACGCTCTGGGGACGAAGTGACAGTCATCCCATTCAGTAACGCACATCTACTCTGTCTTGTATATGACTACATCTCAAGCACTTTAAAAATTACAAATAGCTCCTGAATTTGTGTCTTACTAAACATAGGTTACCCAAGTGAAAATAGTAAAGCTATTTTGGGTTCTACAATATTGATGTAGGAATTGCTTCTTTGAAAGCAGTGGGTCCATCCTATTTCTCCCAACTTCTAACCACAACTTTCCTCTACATTTATCCTGAGATCTCACTTTCAGGAAGTAAGACATAATGAAAAGTGCTGCATCTTTATTTCACCATCTTTCTCAACTCTGTGTGTGTGTGTGTTCACATCTGAAACAGTTGTCGCTGCTTTCGGACCCATTTTTTAGAACTCTAATCTTCTCAATGAATGTTTTTAACAAATAATCCCAGATGCACTTCTAAAATCAGAATGAAATAAACTATGCAGACTTTAAATCCATTAATCAAAATGCCTTAAAGTTTCCATTCCAAGAAAGGCAGATAAACAGCCCCTGCAGCTCACTGTGGTTTCAAACATAGCACTCGCTAGCTGCCTTTTAAGAGCCTTCAGGGAGAGAGTAAATCAACAATTTTTGGTTTTCAGTTTCCCAGACAGTGAAGTGGAGCTTTAGTAATTTTCTCAAGTGAAAAAGAATTCAATAACTTTCAAATAGAAACTGAGCATCAAATTTCTAAATAAAGGATATTGAATTTTTGTTTGAACTTTTAACATCTTAAACCTTTTAGGACAATGTTTCAGAATTTTTTGGTGTCCATTTTACTGGTCTTAATTAAACATAAGACAAAATAGCCAACAATCCTAGTAACTTTCACCTTAAAGAAAATATGGATGTAGCCATTATTTCCTTTATTGTTTTCTCCTTGTTATCTTTACTTTCTTCTCATTGTGTTTTGGCAGCCCACAGAAGATGTATAGGTACATGTGAATCACACCCACTTGTTTACATGCACATCTGTGCAAATACATAAGACGGTAGGTTAAAAAAGAAGAATTAGCTTCCCGTCCTGTGGACTTCTTCGACAAAAGAAGAATTAGTCCAGTTGGTTTTTCAAAATGGATTCTAGGATCCTTAGTGTTCCCGTAGGCTCAGGGTGGCTGATAGGAAAAGCCTATAATCCTCTCAGCAGCTTTTCAGTTTGTTTAGGGAATGGATCAAAGAAAGAAGTTTTTACTGGGTGGGTGATTTTTTTATTATATGAGAGAAAATAGCACTTGAGTGTCTTTTGTTTGAGGACAAGCTAACAGGCAGTACAGAGTATACTTCTCAGCCAGAGTTCTAGTCAGTAAGCTGGCAGATATTAAGATTCTGAATTCCTGAATGATTATTATCAGTCAATTGATTTCCTGCCATAACAGTTGGGCTGTCATCTATATTCAGCATTTTGCACATGAATTTGTATGAGAACTTCTTAAAAAGATTTATATTGAGATATGATGCTTTGATTTTATACGCTGAGATTTTTGTTTTCATGTTAATTAAAAACTAGGGCTTCAATTTGATATTCCTCAAAAGAATGAGCTCTTTTTCAAGTGATATTACTATTACAATCCCCCAGTTAAAACTTACATACCGTATTTCTCTGTTAAGCCACAGAGAAAACAAGAAGTTGGTAGAAAAAAACAAGTTAGATTTGGGATCATTTTTTAGCCAACATTCTACTGCCTAAAGGTCAGTGTTTAAATCCTTTTTAATTTGAGCACCTCAGGGAACATTGGAATGTCCTTACTGAGGCATAATTTAAACTGACAAGGGTAAATTGTGTCTCTTTATAGCCCCAACTCCCTACATGGTGACCATGCAATAGATTTTCATTGATAAGAATATGACTTTAAGTAAGGCTTTGATCTGCCTCAGAATAACCAGTGAATTAGTGAAGACACAGGTTTAAGACCTGTGTGCATCAGGGTTCTCCAGAGAAACAGAACCAGTAGGATATATACAGATTTATAAAAGGAAATTTATAATATTATCACAGTTGGCTTATGCAATTGTAGAAGGTGAGATTTGCCACCTGCAAGAACTGGTGGTATAATGCAATCTGAGGCTAAAGGCCTGAGAACTGAGGGGGCCACTGGTGTAAGCCCTAGAGTCTTGAAGGCCTGAAAACCAGGACCAATGATGTCCAAGGGCAGGAGAAGATAAATGTCCCAGCTCAAAAGGAAAGAAGAGAGATTTTGCCCTTCCTTTGCTTTTTTGTTCTACTTGGGCCCTTAACAGATTGGATTATGCTCATCCACATTGATAAGGGTGAATCACTTTACTCAGCCTACCAACTTAAGCGTTCATTTCTTCCAGAAAACAACTCACAGATTCACAGGAATGACACATCCCTTAGCCCAGTCTAGTTAACATAAAATTAACCATCACAGGCCCATAGGAATATACTTCAGCTTTCTTCCCATGAAATTATAAATGTTGGAAAAACCTAAGTTTCTTGTATATATCAGCTGGCCTACATGTCATACACCTAACTCTCCCTTATGCCTCCCTGATCGGTCTTTATGTTTCCATATCTGTTCCATCTACCCTGTGTCCCATCCCCTCATCTTTCTTTGTCTCTCTTCTCTTTATATAGGTGTTGGGAGTCCCTACTGAGGACACTTGGCCTGGGGTTTCTAAGCTGCCTAACTACAATCCAGGTAATGTTGATCTGAACTTCTTAATGCTCTGAGAATTAGAAGTGTGAGAGCTTGGCCACAAAACAGTATGCCCTTGTTTTATTATTGACTCAACAGTGAGTATAGACCTGGACAGCTTTTTAGATTCATATCTCCTTGAGCAACCCTTGTATAAGGAGGATACTGAGCTAGTAGTTGAGGTTAGATCAGCACCCCCACTCTATAAAACACAAGTAGCCAGCTGAGTAAGAATTTAAAATAACTATTAGTTTCAAAGATGACTACCATTGCACTGATTTGCTAGGTTATTGTGTCCATAAAGCACAAAAAGAGCTAATACAACAGAAAGGAAGTAGATGCTCCTTAAGCCTAGGACCAGCCAAGTAAGACATCTCTCCATTAGTGAAGAATCCATCCATTGCCTCTATACCTGACACCTGGTTATTTTCTGTCACACATTTGGTCCCTAGAACTGACTCCTAGTGTTGGATTTTAGAAGTACTGCAAGTGTTGTCCCTGGGGAAAGTCTCTGAGAAATGGTCCCATGGCTGTGTGTGTGTGTGTGGTGGTGGGGGGGTGGGCTCAGATTACCTCATAGTCACTTCCAGAATGTGAAGACAAGGGAGGAGGTAAGCAGTGAGCTTCAGGGTAAAAGACCACAGTGGAGGCTGGAGAACCAGGTGATGGCCATTCCAAAACTATACTCTTGCTGGCAGGATTAAAGGGGAGGTTGGTATGTAGAGATAAGGACAAAATTAGGGTGACTGTGACCCAAGTCACACCTTCCAGTCTTTATCTCCTTGAGTCGTCCCATTACTAAAAACGGCTTTACCCCAAATTGTTATTTGTAACTTGTATAAACTATTCCAGGAAGGGTTTCTTGAAAGGAGACTCTGTAGGAAGATTTAAAAGATTAAAGAGGAAAACAAAAGACATAGAAGGCTAGTTCTTTGTCTTCTTTTCTCCAGCATCTAATACTTTTACTCAGCTATTTACAGAAAAATGACCAGCCTTTGGTTATCAAAGATAGAAAGTATGGAGAGGGGGAATTGAAGGAAAGTGGTCAAAAGGTACAAACTTGCAGTTTGTACAACATGTACAACATGATCGCTGGATGATATATAGGAAAGTTGTCAAGTTAGAGAGTAAATGCTGATAATTCTCATGACAAGGAGAATTTGTTTTTCCTTTTTTCCGTTCCCTTTTTATTGAGTCTGTATGGAAAGATGGCTGTTAGTTGAACCTGTTGTGGTCATCATTTCACAGTATATGTAAGTCAAACCACCATGCTGTGTTGCCTTAAACATATGCAGTGATGTATATCATTTAGTCCTCAAAATTGGGAGGGAAAACCAACTACATGTAAGGGTCTCTCAGGCACCCTGAGTTGACTGGGCTATGGAAACCCTACAGCAAGTCAAAGATGAACTGTAAAGTTAGGTCTGCTTTGTGAAGTCTCATGTGCATTGCTAAATGGCCTTAGGGTGACTTACAAGTAGTTTGCAATTTCTAACTATTTTTGCTACAGTTTAGCACCTGAGAAAAATGCCTCTCCAGCCATAAGGCTTGGGATATTTCCTTTTTTGTTCTGAGGTAGAAAAAAGAACATTGTCTTATGGAGGCCATGGTCCAGCCTGCAATAGGCTCTATCTCCAGTTGCTTTGGTTTCTAGGAGAATTTGTTTCTCTCCTTTTTCCACCTGTCTATACCTCTTCCTACCCATTCTCCTCTCCAGGTGAAAATGGGATCTCTCAGCTTCCTACCATTGCCACAAGCAGAACTTTAGGGTCACAGGTTGGTTGTAGAAAACAATGTGGATGATGTCAACACAAAGCTGCTATGATAACCATGTATGTCCCTCAAACTTCAAACATTTGGGTTTCAGATTGGTTCAGGCAATAAACAGAGATCCTTAATACAGAATGCCTTGATGAGAACAGGAATGATAAAAATGTGGCCAAAATGCCTCCCTAACAAATTCTGTATGAAATAACATAACTGAGTTCCAATAAAACAGCAAGAAATACATTGCATTTTCATTTTGCTGTTGCTGCAAAGTGATGTGCAATTTTTTATTTATGAAGAGAATTCTCCAGGCCCAACATCAATAAGAATCTTACTTTGCATTGTTTTTCTAGTAAAGATTTAATTTAACTCAAATTAGTAAAAAGTTGTCAAGCTCCTACTACCTATCAGGTGCTGTATTATGTGTTGGGTCTGCACTACATTCTTGAGTCCCTGAGATTGGGTTTGTATTGATTCATCCCCTCTTTCACCAGCTCTTTCTACTGGCACACTCACTTGTGAGCCCCACTCCCAAGGAGCTGGGCAGAATGCAGCGGTGGGCCAGACCGCTTGTGGAAGGGAGTCATAACCATAAGTTACGGCCAAGATGTCTAATCCCATATTTGTAAAACTTAAAGTCCAGCATATTTTGGTCATGGAGTCAGTGCTATTAATAAAGCAGTCATAAGGACTATATTTTAAAAGGGTCACTCACATTTGTATTCCATGGACATCCCCTTACGTGAATCAAGAAGTCCCTTTGAGCTACCCGCACTCCCACCCCCAACCCTGAGCTGCTGCTGCTTCCACACACATGAACACCAGTGATTAAGGGAATAGGAGAGAGGGTGGGAGCCAGAAAAATGTCACAGAAGAGACTGTTAACACCATCCTGGCTGAGATTTCCCTTCCTTTTCTTTTCATTCTAAGCAGTAGTAAGATTCCCTAACTTTGAATTCAGCTGGTATCGGGATTATGAGGGAGCAGGAGAGCTCAGATCTTGGCAGAACAGGGCCTCCACGGTGGCACAGGGGGTTGAGTGCAGCGCTGTGAAGCTGTCCGCAGCCTCTACAGCACAGGTTCGATTCCCGGCCGGCCAGGGAGCAACCCACATGGGGCGGCAGACCTCTCCTGCCTCACCTGCTGCTCCCCTCAGCTGTGTCTTCGGTCCGTCTGCCTGTTCTGCTCCCCACTCTCTGGCGAATTCTCTTACCCTCCCATGCCTCTGACCTGTACCCCAGTTCTTGTATAAATAAATAAGTCTGGCCTCCCTGGTGGCGCAGGGGGTTAAGCACCACACTATGAAGCAATCCACAGCCACTGCAGCACAAGTTTGATTCCTGGCCGGCCAGGGAGCAACCCACATGGTGAGGCAGACCTCTCCTGTCTCACCTGCTGCACCCCTTAGCAGTGTATTTCAGTCAGTCTGCCTGTTCTGTTCCCCATTCTGTCTCTGGTAAATCCTCTTACCCTCTGCATCTCTCTGGCCTGTACCCCAGGTCTTGTATGCATGAATAAATAAATCTTTAAAAAATAAATAAATAAATCTTAAAAAATATATTTTAAAAAAAGAACTTGGCAGAACAATCCAGTGTCCATCACTGTCCACACTGCCATTTCCAAGCTCTGTCTGGACAATATCTGGGAAGACATTTTGTGTTTATACCAGTTTAAAAAAAAAAAAAAAACACCTGGTGTTCACCCAGCTGGACAGGTTTCTCTGATCAGTTACCTGTTTTCTTGGGGCCCTGATAAGTAGGGTTATAGATTTTCTAGCCATCAGAGTCTTGTGCCTGATTAAATCTGGGCAAGGTAAGAGAGAGATATAATTTTAGAGACGTTTGACTTCCTTCCTTCCTTCCTTCCTTCCTTCCTTCCTTCCTTCCTTCCTTCCTTCCTTCCTTCCTTCCTTCCTTCCTTCCTTCCTTCCTCTCCTCCTTCCTTTCCTCCTTCCTTCCCATCCTACCTCCCATTTTAAGCAAGCTGACTGAGAGCTCTGTGTCCTCCACTTCAAAGGGCCAGTTGTCTTATTTTGATGTGGGTAGATTGAGAAGTAGGCTTTGAAAAGTAAGAGCTCTTTTTTCTTTTTTTTTTTTTTTTTTTTTTTTTGTTTAATCTTTTCTCCTGGGATAGCTTTCAGAGCAATATATCCAAGTGTCAGTGAGGAGGTTCTGACGAGCACAGATTCCCAGACTCTCAGCAGGATCATTCTCTAACAGAAATATAAAAGTGAAATATTAAAAACCCTGGAACGTGAACTCCATCTGCAGAGTAGCCAGTGTCTTGCCTGCTTGCACCATGGGAAAAAAAGATCTCCTTGAAAAAAGAGGGAGGAGAAAAAAAGTGCTTTGAGTAAGAGGTTTACAGGTTTAGTAGAGCATAGTAACATCCCCTCAAAGAAGTGGGTGTTGCTCTGTGACCCCCCAAAATGCTCCTTCTTTGACTCAGCCGCCAGAACACTAACCCTCCCCCAACAACACACCCCCTTTTCACATGCTAACTGAGGCGCCTGTGATTGGCTGAACAATAAACTGGTCACACTTGCTAAAGGCCTGCCATCTTTCACACAATTAGCTAAGACACATTAATCAAACTGGCGGGGACTGTGCTGGCCTCCTGAAGAGAGGGAGGGGAGAAATTTTGGTGATCCTTAATAAAAGTCCACAAGAAGCAATAATAAAGGACAGCGTGCTGAGGAGATTCTACTATCAGAAAGTCTAAAAAGATGAAAGCCCCAACTGATACCCCATCTGGGATATGCTGGGTTTGTGCCATAGAGGATCCCAGAAGCTTAGAGCAAATTAGATATTGGGCTTGGCTACAATCTGCTAATATGAGGCAGTCGTGTGAATTTAAAGGGTAGACATTTATGTAAAGTTCCTTTGGCCCTATTAGCATCCCCCCTGTTGTGCCTCAAACCCTTTGGGTCCAACTGAAACCAATAAGGTATAGAAGAAGTATGTTTAGAATCAATTAATACAAAGTATTAACTGCCAATGTGTTGCTCTTAAATTAAGTATTTGGAGAATGTTAAAAATAGTTAACTTTTCAAGGGGAAAAAAGTCAACTTTCATGCTTTCAATAGTAATATTTTCTGACTTTACTTTTCCAATTCCCCTTAAATAGATTTTCCAAGCAAAATACAGAGCTAATAAGAGCATACCTTGGAGACCAGTCTGCAACAGAACCATGTAGGACTTTTAAGAGAATCAACTAAATATTTAGACATTTCTCAG